AATAAATATATATTTAAATTCAAAATAAGATAATTTATTCTTTTTTCCAGAATAAAGCGAGATGAACATCGCGGAGCGCTAAACACTCATGCAGTGTTCAAAAACTGTTGACTGGTAGGTTATATAGATTACAGAAATGTTTTTTGTATATATATATATATAACATTTCTGTCCCCCTCACTTCTGAAATTATGGCTACGCCCCTGCTGTATATGGTTACCAAAGTGCGTTGCCATGGTGTCTGGTCTCAGTGAGCCATTGTCCCCATGACAGTGTAAAAGTGGGAGAGCGGAAGCATTGCCCAAATACAACTGAGCTAAAGCATGTGTTGACTTTGAAAATAGTTTGGCGCACTCTTAAAAAAATAATTCTGAATCTGTGCTCTTAAATTACAAACGGGAAACTCACATAAACGTATCAGTTTGTCACAGTCACAAACACAAGCAGAGCGTGCTTTGAAAGCAAACTGCGTCATCGCGCCGCCACACTGACACACATTCTCCAAATGATCCTCATTAGCAATAAGTAAACCATGACTCCTGTAGCCATGTTAGCTAAAGTGAGATTAGCACTAGCTTATCGCTGAGGGCCTAGTAGTTTGTGTCTTCAAATGGTTGTCTAAACAGGAAAGCATTTACATGGGCAGAGAATTTCTTTTCAAAACTTTTGGTAGAGTTTACCGTACCTATTTTTGTCTGCTTTCGAGAACCAACAAGTGGCAGACACATTGAGCTAATACAGTGTTTCCCGAGATTGTGATTCCTGTGTGAACACAAGTCTTGCTTATTTTAGATGGAAATCTAAACTGTTGTTCTGTTGATTCCTCAGCGGATTCCTTAACTATAATTACTAAAACTGAAACTAAAATATATAAAAGGTAGTAATAGAAATAAAATCATAATTAAAGTTTTAACTAAAATAAAACTGAAAGGTAAAGCGTTAAAAAAAAAAACTGAAAATGAAAAACTATAATAGACTTTATAGTTCATTAGTATTCTTCAGTGGTTCAAGGATAATATCCCAAAGCCTGTCAGCCTGTCTCGCTCTCTGCCGGTCTCTCTCCCGTGACCTGACCATGACAGACAGGATCTCTTTGGAGGACAGCCAAAAAAGAAAGAGAAAGAAGAGTCTGGAGCCCGCATGCCAGCATGTTATTGTTCATCCTGGCTGGGGAACAAGGTCGAGGAAGGCTGCAATTCCCTGCCTGCCAAAAAGCTTTGACCAACAATCCACACCCCCTCAGACGTTTCCTATGTTACTTAATAATAACAGGCCCATGCCAAAACACTAGTTTGGACAAACAGACAATAGGGCCCTTGTCAAATGGTTGTGCATCACCTAAAGCCCTTTGTTTTAATGCTCATCAAATATTACAGACCTGACCAGGTCAAAAGCTGGCAGAGGTGATTTACATGTAACCAGTTAAATATTTAATAATAAAAAAAAGTGTATAGAAAGGAATTATACGAGATCAGTTCGACTTAACTCGACCTAAACAAGTGTAACCCTCTCTCTCTCTATATATATATACATAAATAAGTAAATTGGTGCAAAATAGAGGAAAATGTTGCCAAAACGTTATACCACAATGGAATTTTTTTCTTAAAAATAAAATAAAAATGGCAATGTATTAATTCCATTTTTTGTACAGAATAAACAAAACAAGCAAAAGTCTAATTTCTTACTGGAACAGTTCATATGTCACACCCAGATGTATAAGATATGCACAGAAATCAGTTTAATCTAAGGTTAAGAACCTCTTTTCCACATTGTAGAATTTAGGTAAAGAGAAAATAGCACTTGAGTCATACAGGATGCAGAAACTGGAACTTCAATAACATCTGAATCAGCAGAAGCTCATAAAGAAGAAGCGTTGCCAAATGCAAGACCATCAGAAATGTGCATTAACAACGTCTGAGAGACAGATATGAGTTCAGTGCCCCTTAAGTTTCACTCAACCCAGTATAAGATATGCACAGAAATCAGTTTAATCTAAGGTTAAGAACCTCTTTTCCACATTGTAGAATTTAGGTAAAGAGAAAATAGCACTTGAGTCATACAGGATGCAGAAACTGGAACTTCAATAACATCTGAATCAGCAGAAGCTCATGAAGAAGCGTTGCCAAATGCAAGACCATCAGAAATGTGCATTAACAACGTCTGAGAGACAGATATGAGGTCAGTGCCCCTTAAGTTTCACTCAACCCAAAAAAAGGAGGACAGAAAAATTAACTGTAATTAACCCCATTCCCTCCACTGTACTATTGCAACATCCAGTAACCTTTCTGCTGAGTGCCCTGCTCAAATTAGCTTGAGAAAGCATGGTTTAATTGGGTTTAATATGAACACCTGGAGCGGGCACTGTGCAGTGAGTGGAAAACAAGGCCTGGTAAGCATGTCAGCAGTCTTAAACCAGTCACCAAGAAAGGAATCAGTCTTGCGGATGGTTTAACTCATCAGAAAAGCCTTGGATACTCATCAGAAGTACAGACAATGGGGGAAGCATGTTACCATTGAGGTAATATCAGCACTACAATGTAAGAAATGCCCACAACAAAGTAATTCAATTAAAGGCTGCAAACGTAATTAAACCCAAATCCACAACCAAAGCACAACCTACTGCATACAAACTACAGGTATAAAGAGTCACGTCTGTCAATCATGCCATCTGCTGTGGCTGGAGCTGATCATTTATCCCTAGTACAAAAGGCACTATTTTGGCTTGCTGTTGTTCTGTTTCATATATGCAAATTTTCTTGTGTGTGCACAGTGTGCCACATTTGAATGCCAACTCATTTTCCTCACAGACAGGAACAGAATAATACACTGATCATGGACTGCATTATATGTCAAAATATGACCATTGTTCCAAAAACAGAAACACATGGAAAATCCTTTAAAATAAAGAGAAATACAGCACATCATATTGCACAGATTAAACAAACTATATAACAACACTTTCCCCACATATACACATAGACAGTGAATGAGACATTTGGACTGCAATATGAATAAAACAAGCCGCCGCAGACATCATATTAATACGTTTAAAAGCAATTACATCATCCAAAAGCTGACATCTGCGAGATGAGATCTTCATCACTTAATCTCTATAAAACTTAAAAGAGAAAAGTCTAAACAAATCACATAAAAAGTCTGCCAGTCTCTTTTTCTCTTTATATAAGTTCTTTCATCAGTGACAATGGAGGGTGATGCAGAAGGACAAAAACAGACTAAGAAATTAAACACAAATGTTTCCACAGGAGAATTGAGAAGTGAATTTAATTGATTTCCCATGATGTAAGATAATTATTTTATATATTGAAAAAGTATCTACAGTTTTGCATAAAATTTTGCATCCACTTAGCGGTCTTAGAAAGCCCTCTTGTGGCCGCAACTGTTTCTGTTTTCAGGATTTAGCAACAGAACACATTATTCATAGGGCTGTGCGATATTGAAGAAAAATGCGATATGCGATAACTCATTAAATAATGCGATATTCGATCTGCTTAGTATTTACTCTTTGAATTCAATATGCACTGATTCTTATTTAAGCTACAAAAGTTATTTAGGTAAGAGCATTGAGTGATTTTCTCTTTGTCTGGCCCCAAAGGCCCCAAATATTGCAAGCTGTAGCGATATGCATATTGCGATATGTACATTTGCGATATTTCAATATATTACACAGCCCTAATAGGCACACTTAAAAACAGTTATGGAAGCACTTATGGGGAAAAAAAGCATAACCATTGCAAGGGAGGTACATCTTATATATATATATATATATATAAACTACCTAATTATTACCTACAATACTTCAAAATACTATGCAACATATGCAACATAATACCTAAAGATACTGCAGTGTATTCCCTATTGGAATCCAGATTGTTTCATAATAAGGCCTTGTACGCATGTGAGAAGCTCTAAAATAATTTTAATGCATAATATCCGTGAAATTTATCCTGAAAGTAAGAAAATGGAGTCAATTTATAATGTTACAAAAGATTTCTATTTCAAATAAATGCTGTTCTTCTGACGTTTCTATTATCACTGTTTCCACAAAAATATTGCACAGCACACAACTGTGTTAAATATTGATAATAATAAGTGCTTCTTGAGCATCAAATCAGCATAGAATGATTTCTGAAGGATCATGTAATGCTGAAGATTGGAGTAATGGCCGCTGAAAATTCAGCTTTCCCATCACAGGGTTAAAAAAAAATACATTTCAAAATATATTCAGTTAGAACATTATTTTAAATTGCAATAATATTTCACATTACTGTTTTTTTTCCTGGATTTTTAAAATTGTTTTATATAAATTCAGCCTTAGTGATCATAAGAGACTTTAAAAACATCAAAAATCTTACTGACTCTTGAATTTTGAACAGTAGTATATTTATACACGTTTGTCATGTAACACTTTTATGCTCATGATATGAATGCTGATAGTTTCTTTACATAAGCCTTTCAGGTTCATTGGGGAATGTTAAATGTCTTATTTACCAGAAGCAACAGGGTTTGACTCACATATTGTTTTGTTTTTTGATGATCCCGCTTTATCTACCAGATCTCAATCTATGAGAAGTTATCACACACCCAAGTGCAGATACATGACAGAACAGACAATTGAGCAATAGGTCACAGAAGGACAGAGAGCAGGAAGAGACAAGGGACGAGAGAAATGGGCCAGTTTGCAACACATACAGCCTTAATGGACACTGCATGCTTTCTCCACTCCAACAAGCGAGCAATAGCTTTGTTGGAGGTGTCAGGAGAAGGCACAATAACTGCATTATTGTCCTTGACTTGACCTTGTGTATTAGAATGCATTTCAGTGGAAGAGGAAATCACAGAAGACAGGGCAGGAGCTTGCTATTTTTGGCTCACATTACACATTTTTATGAACTGACATCTTTGAGAAAACCCAAAGGCTGAACTAAAAGGGAAGGAATTATGCTGTTTTGAAATTCACTAGACAACCAGACAATGTATTAGCAGACCCAGTATTAGCAAGTATGAATCTGCAAGTCTTGAATAAAATTTAAAGCCAAACAAAAAACAGCATGAGGAGCAGCAAAGTGAAGGTAAGGCAACATATTTTTGCTCATCCTATGGAGGACTATGTCTTTTGTCTACACTTTTATCTACAAATGCATGCAATTCGCTTTCTATATTCATCTGGTAACATTTTGAAAAATAATCATTACATTTCAAGCAATGTATATCTGTCCAAATCATACTTTGCCAGTTTAAGGTGTACTTGAATAAATTACGTAAAAAAATGGTGTATTTTGAAATAAAGGGTTAAAATAATACAATATATCTTGGTAACATAGATGCATTGCACATTTTATACGTGAAAGAAAGTGGTTAGATATTCTGGCTGTTATTCGGGTGGCAAACTATTTACATATCACTGTAACAAAAATGTGGAAAAAGGAAATGTAGAATCAGATTGTGCTTGAATCATGTGTTCAGTGGTGTAAGATAATAACCTGCTTGACCACCTTGCTCAGGAAGTTTAACCATCAACATTTACCTCGTTGTTTGTCTGGATGATTCATTTAAAGTTTTTTTGTGTGTTTTTGACCAACAAATGTTAAAAGGCAAGACTTTCTAGAACACATAAGTGAAGATTTGCCCAGAGTGATCAATTTATATCGGTCACTTTTTTGGAGCAGTTAAGTAAGGCCATTGAACACTCATAAGTGACACCTCTATATAGCGTTTGTCAACACTAAGAGCGAGTATCTTTATGTCACGGTCTGTCTGACTCTGAATATTTCCTGCATTCTTTTGACACTTTCAGGGGCGTGTCCAAGCCCCTTTCATTTCCTGAAAGTGCATGTGTAGAACCTAAAAAAACACTTCAGCTGAACTATAAAACGTTGCTTAACCAAACGATCCTGTTCCAGTTGTTCAGTCCACTGACAATGGCCAAAAGACATCTAATGTTGTGGATCTTCGCTCTGTGTGTTTCACTCAAACCCTCAGGTAAGATACTGTATACACTAGTGCCTCTGCTTCACAATGACTGAACTTATCTCTGCACTGCTGTGGACTCTTCAGCTGTAATACTGCACTGCACTGACAAAGTCTAAGAGTTCACACAATGAAGGGTGTCTGATTTTAGAGTATTAGAATTTACACTGTAAAAGTATATGAAATTTGTTTATTTGTACAGATCCTAGGTTTACTAAGGGTCAGGGAAAATCATGCAAATTTGATGGAATGCAATATTTGTTACGCATGATTTATATCTTTATTTGTAACAAATGTATTGTTTATATTATTTTAAAACAGTATGTTGAATAATGTTTTATTTAATTTCAAAACATTATTGCATTTTTATATAATGTTCCCTAAGAAACATTAAACAGTTAATACATATGAAATCACTGGTAACACATTAGATTGTAGTGTATTATATGTAAATTTACACTCTAAAAAACGCTGGGTTGTTTTTTCAACCCAAATGCTGGGTTGAGACCGCAGGGTAAGGATGTTGGGTTGTTTTAACCCAATTTGGGTTGAAAATAGTTCTTGATCTATAACCCAGCGGCGCTGGGTTGGGAACGCGGACGTGAAAGAGAGCACGCACCTCAACTTCGGATGACACCAGTGCGAGAAGCCGCCATTTTCTCAGCGTCTTCAGATGGAAGCGAGTGCGAGTGAAAGACGGTTTATGGTAAGTAAAGATTAAAAATGTAAAGTCATCATTCATTGTTTGAGTCCGGTAGTATTTTGAGATTTCATGGAAGGCGGAAATATTCCGAAAGGAGCTTATATTGAAAAATACGCGGACGCGGATTTCGCCTCAGAACGCCTCGTCTTAACGGCCTCTTTTACCGAACGGAAGAGGCGCTTTTAATATAAAGTCAGAGAGTGTCTTATGTCGTATTTACATAAGATTTTACAATATTTACATTTTTTGAGGTGTTAAGAGAGGGTTATTAACATATTTACATGTTAATTCGTTATCTTCTTTTTCGCAGTTAAATTGAATGTAGTTACCTAAAGGAAACGGCGTTATGTAATAAAGACTAGCCTAATTATTTTGAGGCTGATGATGTTTCTGATAAATGTTATAATATCAGTGTTAATGTTGTGGTTTATTTACTGTCATGCCAGAATAGTTTGTAAAGAACTTAACTATTAACTAATTGTACAACTATTGTATAATAGTATTTTTGTATAATATTTTTATACAATATATAAAATTTACCAAAAAAGTCAAATTTGATCTTAAAAGTTATATTCAACAAATGATCAATGCTTCATTTATAAACTCTGTAGCTGTTAATGCCATACTTTTCTGCACTTCTTCATACATGCATGTTACTTTTGACTGTTTTCTCTTGTTTTAAATACATATTTACCTTTTGATAATCATTCTGTGTGTGTACAAATGATTTTAAAATGAACAAGATTTGTAGGTTTAATGCTAGCTCGATTTGGGTTCATTTTAGCCTAGCAGTGTAGTAATTTTAAACCATAAAAAAGCAACCCAGCAAGCTGGGTCAAACATTATAACCCAACCTGGGTTAAAAATAACCCAAATTGGGTTGTTTTTAACCCAGCAGTTTTTAGTGTAATGAAATATAACTCAACCAATACCAAAAGTAAATAGTATTAGTACTAAAAAGGTGCATTCACAAGCAGATCTACATCCAAATCCATATTAATTCTGTTCAGTACTTAACTATAATATAAAGTGTTATCAGTTCATTTTGTTTTAATCTCCCTGTCACTTTTTGGTCAATAGCATTGTGTATATTATATGAAAGGGCTGCAGCACACTTTTAGAAAAAAAAAATAGGTACAACAGCTGTCACTGAGGCGTTATCTTTTTTTTTTTTGTAAGTACACCTTTGTACTTTATTTACCCCTAAAGGGTGCCTTTAAAGGGGTCATATGACGTTGCTAAAAAAAGAACATTATTTCGTGCATTTGGTGTAATGAAATGTGTTTATGCGGTTTAAGGTTCAAAAAACATTATTTTCCATATACTGTACATTATTGTTTCTCCTCTATGCCCCGCATTTCTGAAACGCGTAGATTCTTACAAATCTCATCGTTCTGAAAAGCGAGGTGTGCTCTGATTGGCCAGCTATCCAGTGCGTTGTGATTGGCCGAATACCTCAAGCG